CAGACAGACAGACAGACAGACAGACAGACAGAGAGACAGAGAGACAGACAGAGATGAGTTGGGGTTAAAGTGAATGGAACATTCGGTTTGGGAGGGAGGGGGAAAGAAACAGAATGATGGGAGAATGGTGAGTTACTGAAATCACTATACTTAAACGAACCAAAAACAAACAAGCGGGGAGTGAAAACAAAAGGTATCGGGTAGGTAAAAGATGCACCATAACTTCAGTCAATGGATAAATCCGCAGAATAATGTCACGATTCAAATTTCCATCAAGAGTGGTTGTGAGATGTTTCAGAGCGTGTAAAAGTTTACTTAGTCTTTTGCTGTGTAAAAATCAACATTGCACCTTTATCTTAACAAACTGGCAGACCAGTAAGATCTCTCACTTGGAGCAAAAGAAATAAACTTTTAAAGTGTCATCCGATATCATATCGCAGACATTCTCTGTACACAGAGATAGCAACAAAGCTAGAAAGTTTTATCTGCTGCAACAGTTTACTTCGGTAGAAGATTTCATATCATAACTCTGTATTCGAGAGAGAATGTTGTCATTTTAAGCTCGCAGGCAGTCATGAACTGTCTGCGCTGGACAAAAGCAACAGCAGCAGCAACAGAAATAAATACAATATCTTCATATTTCTTCATTATCACTAATATCATCGCCAAACGATTCTCCTTTCACGCGTGACTGCAAACGCTGTTTCATCTCTTATGTCTCTGTGTCTCTTAAAACAGATAGAACATTTTCCATAACATTTAATGTCACTCTGTGACGCTCATTTCTTCAAGTCATGAAAAACATAAAATTTGGCACCTTTCAAGAAAAAGACTCGTGCCGACCCCCCGCCCCACACACACACACCTCTTTCCCACCCAGCCCCTCGCCAAACAAAACTGACCACGGAGGCACAGTGATCGAGAGCTGGGCACACTACCCGGCTAAGTGGACAATGCGATTCTCAAGTGTCGTGTGTCCACACTTCCAGATCTTAGTGTTCGGTTCTGTTGTCTGTTTAGGTTTCTTAACCCTTTCACTACCTCGACAAGACTATATCGATAGGTATCAGTCACAAATGGGCAGAATCCGATTTGATTTTAAGAAAAAAAAAAGAAAAAAAAAAGACTTTTAACTATGTTGTAAAGAAGACTCAAAGGCATCATCTCTTTAAAGTTACACACCAAATAAAGATATTTTTCTTCTATTCATAATATGTCAAGCTGAGTTCAAACTTTATCCAATTTCTTTCGTAATATTCCAATCAATTTTTCAACTAAATAATGTGCCAAATCTGAGTAAAAAATGTTAGCCTCTCCTGTACAATAGGCTTTCGGAAAGATGGCCCGTACGTGCCAAACAGCATGGACAAGCTCTTTGCCAAGATTATTAAGCAAGGTCGGCAGTGAAGGGGTTAACACAGAATGTAGACATTAGACGGTCAAGTGATTGTCCAGGGAATAGATAATCACAATGGTAAACCACACAACAGAGGTCAGAAGCCCCTATCGGGAGTGGAGAGCCACTGGGTATTGCGTGCAGGACTCCTGCTGGGGTTCCCTGTTAGTGTGTTCTATTTGTGATTTAAGAC